TCTGCAAAATCGATCTTAACCCATTTCTTTTTATTATTTGAATGCTTTCTCATATCCACTCCATCTGCAAAATCGATCTTAACCCATTTCTTTTTCTTCTGTGAATGCTTCTCATCTCCACTCCATCTACAAAACCGACCTTAACCCACCCATTTCCTCTTCTTCTCTTTTCTCAGGGAAACTTGAGCTATTGGTTTCATTGAAACCTCAAACCTGGCAGATCTTACCAAATCAAAATACCCTTCAATAAACAATACCAATCAAACTCTAATCCAATATCAACAAAAATACAATCAAACTTCAATCAAACTTTAATCAAATTCTAATAAAAATGCAGTCAAATTATAAATCAATCTCCAAATATATTAACAACTGGAAATGGAAATAAAAAGAAGAACGAAAAACCAAGAACTAAGCTTTCCTAGCAAAGCTGGGTTCGGTTGAAGGCTGGGTTTCAACCGAACCCAGCCTTGCTGGGTTTCCACCGAATCCAGCCTTGCTGGGTTCATCGAAACCCAGATCTGCTGGGTTCTGACGAACCCAGCCTTGGCTAGGTTCCGGCGAACCCAGCCTTGGCTGGTCGCGAACCCAGCAAGGCTGGGTTTCAACCGAACCCAGCCTTGCTGGGTTTCCAATCCAGCCTTGCTGGGTTCGTCGAAACCCAGCCTTGGCTGGTCGACGAACCCAGCAAGGCTAGGTTTCCATCGAACTCGAAAGAAAGAAAGAGAAAAGAAGAAGGGGAAGAAAGGGATTGGGAGGGTGAGTGTGAGTGTGAGTGTGAGGATGAGGGTAATAAAATAATTTTATATATTTTTAATTAAAAAATATATATATTAATTTATGTGGCACTTTTATTTATTTATATAATATAAATATAATATATATTAGTGTCACATCATCAAAAAAATTAAAAAATAATGTCACATAAAATTATTTAATTGACACCTCATACTTAACTGATGGAGGGATCAAAACTGTGCAATTTTTAGAGTTAAGGGATCAAAAAAGTGCAAAAAATTGTTAAGGGACCAAAAATATGCAACTCACTAAAGTTGAGGGACCAAATTTAGCATTTAACCTTTGATCAATGGTTACTGCAAGGAGGGGCAACTTGAGGAGGCTGGCAGTATTTTAAATGAAATGTCTTATAAAGGAATCAGTCTGAATACGGTAGGATACAATTCCCTAACAAGTACACTATGCAAGAATAGGAAGGTTCATGAAGCTAAGGAAATGTTTGGTGAAATGAAAAACAAAGGTTTCAAACCAGACACATTCGCTTTTAATTCTCCAATATTTGGTCTGTGCAAGGTGAATGAAATGGAAGAGGCCTTAACAGTGTATCATGATATGTTGGTTGAGGGTGTTGTTGCCAACACAGTGACATACAACACACTAATTCATGCTTTTCTGTGGACTGGTGCCATTCAGGAGGCACTCAAGCAAGCTTGTTAAAGATATGTTATTTAGAGGATACCCTCTGGATGAGATCACCTATAATGGCCTAATTAGGGCACTCTGTAGAGCTGGGGTCTTGGATAAAGGATGAGGGTTGTTTGAAGAAATGTTGACGAAGGGACTTGTCCCGAACCATGTTTCCTGTAATATTGTGATCAATGGCCTCTGCTGCTCCAGGAGAATGAATAATGCACTTGAGTTTCTCAGGGAAATGATTTATCGAGGTTGTTGGAGCTATGGCATGAAAGCTGAAAATGCAGTGAAATGAGAACTGTTAAATGATGCTACAACATGACTGCACAGTAGCAGCAAATGACAGCAGCATGGAGCTTCACATGGGCTACAAGAAATGGCAGCAGACTTCATCATTTTAGTCAATGTTTTAGGTAGTTAATATTTATTTTATTAGGTAAAAAAATATTATTGTTTTATGTGTAGCCTTCCTCTATAAAAGGGAAGGAAGAAATTGAATGAAAACTGAGAGAGAGAGAAACATGGATTCTCCTCTCTGGTTGGGTGAATATCTGCATCCTTCCATGTTTATGGCTTTATGTTCTATGTTATGTTGTGTTGTTTTTGGTATAAATAGCAGTTATGTTGTGTTGTTTCTGCTATAAATAGCAGAATACCGAAAATTGGTTCTGACCTCAAGAGGGAACTCCGGGTGTCTCTCCTTCTCCTCCAAGTTCTCTCTCAATCTCCCTTCTTCTTACCACCAAAAATGCAACAGAGGTTTGACACCAGATATAGTCACCTATAATACCCTGATAAATGGTCTCTGCAGGGCAGGTTGCATTCGGGAGGCCTTGAGTCTATTTGAAAAATTATAAGTTGAAGGAATTTATCCTGATGCCGTTACTTATAACACTTTGATTAGTTGGCACTGTAAAGAGGGTATGTTTGATGATGCCTGTTTGGCTCTTTTTTATCTTATCAGGTGATGCTTTGATCAATTTGTTTAATTTCATATTGTATGGTACAGCTTGCTCCGGTGGGAGAATATTTTTGGGGTTTTATAGATGCTTGATACATATTGCATCCAGTCTTCCATTTCTACATAGTGAAGACCTAACTATTTTTGTTGAACACAGCAATGCAGGTTTGGCAGATGAAGAACCAGACTGTCTTCGTGCCGTTCACTGAGCTAAAGGTAGCAGATTAGTGAATCCTACTGTTTACACACAAAAACAGCTCGAGCCTGATGGTGCTATGTGTCCATGATAGAAGTTGTGTTGCTGTGATTTCACCGCATCATTCATAGATGAAATAGTTGCTTAAAGGCATTCAAATGGAGTAATTTTCAACAGACAAGCAATTGATGAAGAAAAACTTTTAGAATTGGCACAAGTAAGATTATTCATTTGCTGTAGAAGAAAATTTGAGGGACTAAAGTTTATTTGTTTCATGGATTGGTGTTTGCAACCAGCATAGGCTCTACGGGATGTGGTTATTACCACTCAAGAAACTGTTAGGGCTACCCATTCATATCTTTTTTTCTTAAATAGTTAATTATGGTATTTAGATATTTCAATTTATTAATTAATTTCAGTTTATTAATTAATAAATATTGATTATTCACTTAATTATTAATAAATATAACTATTATTTTTAATTATTTTTAACAGTTAAATTAAATATATAATCAATATTTTAAAAACAAATATCAAAAAAAGTAGATGACTTTTAACACTTTTGTGGGTGGAAATTACC